GGACTCGTTGTAATCTGCCTGTTTACAGCCTCCCAAGAGCTGAGATTACAGGCGCGTGCCACCATGCCCAGTCTCAAGTTTGTACTATAAGTGCACTGTATGATTTTTTTATTTTTATTTGTTTTTTGTTTGTTTTGTTTTGTGTTTGTCTTTTTGAGACAAGGTCTCATTATGCACTTCAGGCTGGCCTTGAGCTCACTTTGTAGCCCAGGCAATCCTCCTGCTTCAGCCTCCAGGAGTGCTGGGATTACAGGCATGTGCCACTATGCCCAACTTGTGTGCTCTTTTAAAAATACGGGGAGAAGGGGGGTAAAATAAATAAATAAATAAATAAATAATAAAAATATAGGGAAAGCAAGCACACTAAACCTCTGTGTTGTTCCACTTGTAGTTTTGCTTCAGTGTTCTTTTGGTTTCATTTGGATTTTTGCAGTTTTTGTGTGTGCTTTACAGCTCTGCTGCAGGAGTTGCCAGCAGCCTTCTGTGTTGTCCTCTGCCTTTAGGTTGGGTCGCAGTGACGCCTCATCTCCAGGATAGACTGTGTCTCCGAGTCTACGTACCCCAGGGAACAGTGCTGACCATACGGCCTCCTCTCTTGCCATATATCGTTAGCATCAAAGGAGAACGCATCCGGAAAAGCGTGGCCTACAAGACCAGGAAGCCTCCTTCGCTTGTGTACAATGTGCAGAAGAAGAAAAACGGATAAATATGTGAGCCGGCCCTGGGTCACACTGGATATAAACTGTGTCAGACTTTGTAGCGCATATAGCTAGAATAAAGTCCTCCCACTCTTTTTAAAGAGTTTAACATTGACTTTTTAAAAACTATTCAGGACTGTGCCTTTTGATAATGTGCCAGATTTGAGCCAGGAAACCCTGATGGACCAGTTTTAAGACAGAATATCTTGGTCAGGGGCCAGGGGTCTTCACCAGAATGGGCAGAAGCCCTGAACTGGCTCAAACCCCAGATATATTGAAGAACAGCGAAGGCAGAGTTCTGCTGAGCACACATGTCTGCTTTAGGTAGCAAGGCAGGCAGAGCGAGGTGTGGTGACAGGTTGGCTGAAGAATTGACTTTTCTCTGATTGTCCCCTCAGGATCTTCTTTATTTTCCCCACAAGGCCCGTCTCTGCCAGAACTGGCAAACACCTCCATCTTCAAGGTATTTCTATTCCTCAGTTAGTAGCCTTCCACCTCCCGAGTCAGCCCGAGCAGACATCAACCCACTGGGTGTCACGACGAACATCACAACAATGAATTGAGTTTGTAAATATTGTTTTTTGTAAGGCATGTATATGTGACTTGAATGCACATTAAAAATACTATCTTCTAACCTTCACTACTGTCAGGCATAGTGGCACACACCTGTAATCCTAGTGTTCAGAAAGCTGAAGTAAGATCAGGTTCAAGGCCAAAAGGTTCAAGGCCAGCTTGGGCTACATAATACCTCGTCTGAAAAAAAAAATCCTTCTTGAGACGAGATGGCATTTCTCTTATTTAGAGTCTATAGCTGAGAGTGCAGGTTAGCACTCAGTATATGACAAGTATCAGGAAACCTCCAAAACCCAGTGGTTCCTCCTTAGGTGGTCACCCAGGACACTGCAGGTGGAACGCTCTGGGCTTCCATCTCTGTGGCTCAGGTGGCCACTCCAGCAGCAGGCAGCTTCCCTGTTTCCAGGGAGGGAGCCCAGGCTTTATAGATGCACAAATCCCACAGATCTCCACTGCCAAGATCACAGACACCCCCAGCCCCAGGCAGATGGGCCTCAGTGGCAGGTCCGCAGCTGTGTGTGTAAGAGAGAGGCAGGCTGGGCACGATGGCACACACCTGTCATTCCAGCACTTGGGAGGCTAAGGCAGGAGGATTGCCATGAGTCTGAGGCCAGCCTGGGCTACATAGTGAGACCCTAACTGAAACAATTTTTTTTTTAAATAAACTGCATTTCAGTATGCCTGACATCCATTGATCAAAAAAACAATGCCGGTAGCAGCTTCCCCTGCCCCTTAGTCACCAGGCAAAGCTTGATGGAATTGGTAGCTGACTTACAGTTTTGTTTTGGAGAGAATGAAACACCATTGTTTGTTCTTTTTTGTTTATTTTCTTTCTTTTTTTGTTTCTTCCTTTCTTTCGAATTTGGTACAGGGTCTCATAGTGGTCTTCCTTTGTTCAGCCTCCCCAGCACTGGGATTACAGGCGTGCACCACCGTACCTGGACGCAGGGGCGTTGCTGGCCACATATGTAGTGCCAGGGATCAAACCCTGGCCCCTGCACTTTCCTAAGCAGGCACTTAGTCCACTGAGCTATCTCGCCAGCCCCTCTTTTGAAATGTTAAAACTTTTAGTTTTAATTGACATAGTTGCATATTTGTGGGATACAGTGTGCATTTCAAAGCATGCATGCAAAGCAAGGAATGTTGGTACATACCTGTAAAACCAGCTATTAGAAAGGCTGAGGGAGTATCACAAATTCAAATCCAGCAGGGGCAATTTGGCAAATTCCTGTTACACATTTTAAAATAGGTCTGGTATATGTTTAATTTTTGCATCCCATTGTGAAGAACTATTGAAAAAAGTCCTAATAGCTGGATGTAGTGGTGCACACCTATAATCCCAGCACTCGGGAGGCTGAGGCAGGAGGATTGCCAAAGTTGAAGGCTAGCCTACATACAGTTGAGACCCTGTCTCAAAAAACAGAAAGGAAGAAAAGTCATAAAATTGCAGTTTAAAAGAAAAGAATAGGGGCCAGGGAGATGGCTCAGTAGAATAAGCGCTTCCCTGGAAAGTGCAAGGGCTTGAGTTCAATCCCAGTTCTGCCAAAAAAATTTTAAAAAATTAAAGAAAGACTAGTTAAGTGAGTCAAGAAAATGGCTTCTCTGTCAGTTGTGGTGGTGTGTACCTGTAATCCCAGTACTCAGGAGGCAGAGGCAGGAGGGTCACTGAGCTGTAGGCCACCTGGGCTACAGAGAGACTCTGTGAGAGAGAGGGAGGAATGAAAGAGGAAGGAAGGAAGGAAAGAAGGAAGGAAGGAAGGAAGGAAGGAAGGAAGGAAGGAAGGAAGGAAGGAAAAAAATAAAAGAGAAATTCCTTAGGTTATAGAAATGGAGAACAGCAACTTTTTTTTTGGTCTTTTTGAGACCGTCTCGCTATGGAGTTCACGCTGGCCTTGAACTTGCTGGAATTACAGGTGTGCACCACCATACCCTGCCAGGAACACCATTTTATTAGGGAAAAAATAAAGATCATGTTTAAGATATTTTAAATCATAGGTAAAATTGTTGGTCAGATAGCCAGGCGCGATGGCATACCTGTAATCCCAGCACCCAGTTGCTGAAGTAGGAGGGTCACCTTGTGAGTTCAAGGCCAGCCAGTGTTACAAAGCAAGACTTTGTCTCAACGAAACAAAAATAGACAATGGAAGAGAATAGAGTAAGAACCCCACACAGAGCCAGTTGGCCAGCTGGGTTGGAGAAGGCGCCGTCAGGGTCAGCCGCCTTCTGGCAGCTGCTGCCCGTGACTGTGCCAGCGGGCACCTGAAGCAGCCAGGTTTCTGTGCCACAAGCCACCTGAAGCTGTCAGTGCCCTGTCCTGCCCTGCTGCCTCTGCCATCCTCGAAACCCCTGTGCTTATCACAATTTAAAACTCAGGCCTGAATTTTTAGGTAGGAGTTGCTGAGGAATATAGTCTAGACACTAAGCCATTGCCCAGAAAACTTGTGAATATTGGTTTTGGCTTTGCTTCTGGTTTGGTTTTTGAGGCAAGGTCTTCCTATGTAGCCCAGGCTGGCCTTGAACCGGCAGTGATCCTCCTGCGTTAGCCTCCCCAGTGCTGGGATTACAGGTGTGCACCGCCACGCCTGGCAGTAATACTAGGAAGCAGGACTTTGCTTCTCTACCCTCGTAGCCTTTTAGGCCTCTTACCTAAGAAACATGCAGTTTTTAAATATTCGAATTCTCCTTTTACCCCTAAAATTCAAGTGTTTTGTTTCGTAAAGCTTTACCCAGACATATCGAAAGGTGGTCCAAGGCACGAAAGGTAATAAGATATAGATTGAATGTTTAAAAAAAATTTTTTTTAATTGTTGCAATAAGAGACACATTGCCGGGCTGGTGAGATGGCTCAGTGGTCTAAAGCACCTACTTAGAACAAGCTTAGCAAAGCATCAGGGACCACGGTTCAAACCCCCAGCACCACATGCCAGCCAGCCCCGCCCCCTGGTGGGCTGAGCTGGCCACACACACACACACACACACACACACACACACAAATAAAATTAAAAAAAAAAAAAAAGACACATTGCCATTAGCCCCCCTCAAAAGACTGCCCTTCGCATCCAACACAGCCCATCGCTCTTCCCGTGTTCTGGTTTTTGTTTTTTTGTTTGTTTGCTTTTGAGAAAGTCTTGCTTTGTAGTTCAGGCTGGCCTCAAACTTGCAGCAGTCCTGCCTCAGCCTCCTGAGTTCTGTATTACAGATAGGCACTACAGTACCCAGCATTCTTGCCACTTTCTGAAGCAGTTCTGCAAGTTTTCTTCCATGGTGTCTTCAGAAGGAGGGATTAAAAATTTACTGCAAAAAGAAAACAAATATATTTACTGCAGCCAAATGACAACCAAGTAAAGGCAGACTCGGCAGCAGTACCGCAGGGGATTCTCATCCTCCCCATTCACTGGTCTGATACCTGACAATTTTTGTGCATCCCCAAAGTCAAAATGACAATGAAAGGTAAATGTTTTGAATCAGATCAAGACATCCAGGGGCTGGGGATACAGCTCAGCAGCATAAGCACCTGCCTGGCAAACACAAGGGCCTGAGTTCGATCCCCAGTACCACCAAAAGAAAAAGGCATCCAGGGTCATCCAAATAGCTCAGGGGATTAAAGCACCTGCAAGCAGGCACTGTGCAGGCCCCAACCCCAGGGCACCAACCCCAAGGTGCGTTGAGACTGCAATTGAGACGGCTTGGTAGTGCAAACCTGAAAGCCCAGTACTTGGGAGGCTATAAATAGGGAGATCACTAGGAGTATGATCTAGTAATGAGACCCTGATCACACTGTAGACCCTTCCCTAAAACATAAAAAAAAGACATCCAGGCAGTCATAAGAGCAACTAAAGACACCAAAGAGGACTTCCAGAACAGCTTCACAAAGTAGCAAGAACGGGGGCTGGTGAGATGGCTCAGTGGTCTAAAGCACCTACTTAGAACAAGCTAAGCTAAGCAAAACACAGGGACCTCGGTTCAATCCCCAGCACCACATGCCAGACAGCCCCGCCCCCTGGTGGGCTGAGCTGGCCACACACACAAAATGAATGAATGAATAAATAAATAAATAATTTAAAAAAAGCTACCAACTTTTAAAAAAAAAAAAAAAAGCAAGAACGGCTGGCAAGATGGCTCAGCTGACTAGGTGCTTGCTTAGGCAAGCGTAAGGACTGAGGTTGATCCCTGGCGACACATGCAGTGCCGGCCCTGCCCCTAGGCACTCTGAGTCCACTAAGACAGAGACCAAGTGTGGAGGCACACGCCTGTAATCCCAGCGCTTGGGAGGCTGAACATGAGAATTGCTATGAATGCAATCTATGTAGTGAGACCCTGTAGACCCTGAATTAAATACATTTTTTTTTAAAAAAAGGTAAAGAATACTGGGGCAAGTGTGTTCAAAGTGAGAAGCAGTATTTTGAGGGAGATTAGAAATATATCTTTTTGAAATAATCTTTTGTAAATATGGTAGTGTTTTTATTTGTTTTCTTAGTTTTTTGAGACTGGATCTGTCTCTTTCTAGTTGAAGATGGGCTTGAACTCACTATGTAGCCTAGGCTGGCTTCAAATTTATAGTGACCCTGCCTCAGCCTCCTGGGTGCTAGAATTACAGGGGGGCTCCACCAGGTCCAGCTTTGCCATAGTTTTTTGTGTTTTTGTTTTTTTTTTTTTGTTTGTTTGTTTGTTTGTTTTTAAATTTTATTTAGTTGTGTGTGTGTGTGTGTGTGTGTGTGTGTGGCCAGCTCAGCCCACCAGGGGGCGGAGCTCCCTGGCATGTGGTGCTGGGGGATTGAACCGCGGTCCCTGTGCTTTGCTAAGCTTGTTCTAAGTAGGCGCTTTAGACCACTGAGCCAGCCCTTGCCATAGTTTTTGTTTGTTTGTTTTGGGTTGAATTGTGTTTTGTTTGTTTTTGTGGTATGGGGGATTGAATGAAGGACCTTGTGCTTGCCAGGCAAGCGCTCATGCTGCTAAGCTATCTCCCTGGCAGGTTGAATTGTTTTTTTGTTTTGTTTTGTTTTTGTTTTTTCTTTTTCTTTTTTCTTTTTTTTTTTTTTTTAAATGTATTTGGTACAGAGTCTACAGCGTCTCACTACCTAGTTTGGACTCCTGTTTTCAGCCTCCCAAGCGCTGGGATTACAGGTGTGCGCCACCAATGCCCAGTCTCAATCAATGTCTCAGTGCGCCCTGGGGGCAGGGCTGCCACCGAGAATAGAACCCTGGCCCCTGCACTCTGCCTAAGCAGGCACTTTAGTTGGCTGAGCTATCTGGCCAGCCCTTGAATTGTTTTTTAGGAGACATTTATTTTTTGGTTTTGGTGCTGAGGATCAAGCCTAGGGCTTCTAGCTTGCTAGGTAAGCATTCTACCGCTGAGCCAAATCCCCAGCCCCCACCATAGTTTTTGATCACACTTTGTAACTTGCCAGGAGTTTCAAACAGTGCAACTTAGTAAATGTAAATTCCCATACGTACATTCATCTTGTTGGAGCTTCATTTTTTCACCTAGTCAATGACTTACACTAGATGGTTTTTGAAGGGTTTTTAGTCCTCACCATTTATGAGTCTAAAGACAAGTAGGAAAGCAAGTGACCGAAA